GAACATGACTTGATTAAGAAATCTTAAATAAGACGTGAATAGACAATTATTGAATTTGTCAAAAAAAATTATGCGCATAGAAGGAGAAATTAAACACACTGTAATTACAGGATTTTTCTTCAAAAGTCAATTTGTACATTGTATTTTTTGTAATGTTTTTTAAAATTTTATAGTTATCAATCCACCTCCTATTTTTCCCTATTTATGTAACTAACCCCTTTTATTGGTTTATTTCTTTTTCAAGTTTTAACAATAGTTGGGCATTTTGTTGGATTGGAATTAAAAACAAGAAAATACTTCCCTTCAAAAGAAAATGTGTGCTTCTTTTAAGTAGGGGTATACATGGTTCCATTTAGTTTTGGTTCTAAGAGAATCAAATCAAATCTTGAAACCAATGATTTTTTCTATAATGAAACCAAATTGTTTTGTTTTTAAGTTACGGAACCAAACCATCGATTGTGGTTTGATTTGATTCTAGGTCCCTTACCGATTGAGAAAAAGGAGAGAACATTTGAGGAAAAAGAATCCAAGATTGAGACTTCAATTTCATAAATCCATGCGACAGTGGTGGTTGAGCTCAAACGTAAACGACATGCGACAGTTGTTGGTTACCACGTGACGTTGGGGGGCGTGTGTGTGTGTGTATAATATAATATTTAAATATTGACTTTGGTTCGAGGTTCCAAAATTAGAACCAAATGGTTTTCAGTTATAAGAATCATAACCATTAATATTTTTTTTTAAGAATCGAATCGAATGGCTTGATTTGGTTTGGTTCGATCATTGTTCCACCCCTACTTACATAGATAAAGTAATTCTATCATTTGTGTTACATTTAAGATACTTGTGTGTTGTACAAACTTCATTAAGAGTTTATTAAACTCAACCATCAACCATGACAACCTGACCTACTTAAGTAGAGTATTTTTAATGCATTACTAAAGCTGTTGACTTATCAAATGACTAACCATTTGAACCCAAAATATAACTTTTGATACAATTAGATAGAGTTACCATCATTGATTAAGTGAGACGCAATAAAAATTAATTGTGTGTACAAAAAGAAAAAAAAAAGGAAGAAAAAGTGAGTAATGCTAATGTATCACTAGTCATGATTATCATCTCATGATGTGGTATTAAATGATAAAAATTATAAGATTTTACAAAACAAGCACTTGAGTAATCTACCTATATCTACCTCTACCTATACTAAAAGAGGCCAAGGCAAAATCACTGTTCACAACATGTTCATGGGTGGTTTAGCGGTTTCAAGGGTGCCTTTGAATACATCTCGCGCG